TGTATGCAGGTTTTATTGAGAAGAAAAATGACCATGTGTTCACTGTCACAGACAAGCAGGCAGGAGACAGGTGACCTTTGACATCTCAGCAGCATATCTTTGATTGGATTAGGAGCCTAAAATGTATAAATCTGTCTTGGGTGATGGTTATGTCATACGCTTGCAGAGTCAACCACTGGCAACTTCAAGTTGGGTTGGAGTGCTGCCACCAATTCTCCTTCCCTGTAGATATTTTTAATCAACCTTTCAAGCATGTTATGACACATCTCTGAAGCAGATAGTAATAAGAACTGCCGATGCTGGAGTCTGAGATAACACAGTGTGGAGCTGGAGGAACACAGCAGGCCAGGCAGCATCAGATTAGCAGGAAAGCTTAAGAAGGGTCCTGACCCGAAACGCCAGCTTTCCTGCTCCTCTGATGCTGCCTGGCCTGCTGTATGCCTCCAGCTCCACACTGTGTTATCTGATGCAGGTGGGACTTGAACCCAGGTCTTCTGAGGCAACTCTGCCACAAGAGCCCTAATTCTACTTCCTCTATTGTGTCTAAGGCCTGTATGGTTAACAGTGGTAGAAAAAGAAACATTGTGTGAACCTTGAAAAGAAGAAGCACTTGTCTTAACAACATATAGTCTTTTGCGTGATAGCAATATATACAAGATAAATTTGCTAGTTAGACATTATTATTAAAACTAATAGACTGAGATGATACATCTAACCCCATCAGGATCTAGAATGACATGCCTCAAGCCTCTATTCAGATTGCATGAAGCCTAATTCAATCTCAAACAGAGTCATTACCTTCCAGAACCGATAACAACAAATGATCATCAACTACCTAACAGAATATTGGGTGGAGTGTAACACAAGTGCTGTACTGTACCGCTGTACTGCCCAATGTTATGTATGAGCATTGGAATCCAGGAGTAACCCTCCGATGATATCACTGAATTGCGGATCACGGACTATAAAAGACACAGAGTGGACTGAGTTAGAACACTGGAAGAAGAATGTAACAATCTAGTCTGAAACTCTGCACCAGACCAGTTGACAACATTGATATTAAAGCACAAAGAAGATAAACTAGTTCTTAGCTAATGTAACTACAAGATCAGAGGCTGGTATATCAAAGATTATCATATACTGTGCAGTATTTATATTAATACATTATGTATTAATTACATTAAAGTAATAAATAGAATTACATTTAAATCTAAAACCCTAAGGATAGTTGATGTCTTTGCTTTCTTATTGGCCATTCAGTCTTGAACCCAAACTCATAATGAAGCAGCAAAACCAGGCGATAAAAAACCCGACGTAAATTTACGCGTTCAGCATTTCCACATGTTGAACTATAACATGAAACCAGAAAGAAAGTTAAATCTAGAATAACTATGCACATCCCATGCCCCATCAACACTGGCTACCTGTCAGCAACACCTAATGCAAGTTACTCGCATTATCAAATCCCTCTTCAGCCTTCAGCTTTTAGTGTCCTGCATATTGATTCTTCGTTGCTTGTGATATTATGAAGCATTCAAAGCATCACTATTTGGCAACTGTATTTGGGGCGTTCTGCAAGTTAGTGATCAAGCTGCATACTTCAAAATGCTAAAACAGTATTAAGTCTTACATCTGCTCACCAATTCCTGTTCTAGTTAGTGAATTGCTGTATATATTATTTCAGTGATTTAGCTCATACTGGTGTTGACTGTAGTTTTAAAACCAAGTTATTCATTTACAGAACTTTAAACACTTTAAAATTTAGAAAAGTTACAACATGCTCATGTTCTTTACAGGGCCAGAGTCCCAGGTCTTTTATAGAACCTCCTGTCAGTGAGAGTTACTTGACTTCCTAGCTCCTGCCACAAGCTAAAGCAATCAAGCATTGTACAGGGATCAGTTAAGGACAAAAATTATCAAATGCTGATAAAAAACAATTGAACACTACACCAAGTGATGACTCTGGTTTAACTTTAGCCGTATTATAATGCTTCATAGCCCCAGTGGTTATCAGAGCAAGGTCAAAGAGGTGATCCAGAATCAGTCACTCGTATTTCAGCCTTATCTCTGTGGAGTAGCTATTTATTAGGATGTGGTAGCATCCAAGAGACATGGTAGCTTCAAAGACGCTGGATTAACTAGAGAAAGTTCAAGTTGGCATCACATACTGACTTCACATTTAACTTCTTAGCCTGGGGTGCAGAAACGGGTGATATATGTGCAATGATGTCTGTTCCCTTGGGAAACTGTTAATATTAAAGGAACTTTGTTATCTGGAGCATTGCTGTATTGCACAGTGCCAAAGTTCACATAGTGCATGCTTGGCATAGTCTTAGCATTTTGAATATTTAAAGACTCCTTCCTGTCAGTTTTGCCTGGCTAATTAGAAAGGGCACAAAAACATAAAAATTAAGAACTATGATTACAAAGAACCGCCGTCAGAGCTGTGCCACTGATTGATCATGCTCCAACAGCAGAGTAGTGTGATGTCATGACTAATTTACCATCACTTTGAGTAACTATAAATGGTGACTAAGCTGTTCTACAGTCATATAGGTGTTACTCCAGAGTTGGCAGTTGCATTTCTTTGGTTACATGATGCCAGAGGCTATAAAGGCAAGATGAAGTCTGTATTTCCTACCAGTTATTGAGTTATGCCCTAAGTACAAACCCCTCTAACCTTGCTCACTGTGGAAACTGTTCAGCATATGTTATAGCGCCATAACTTTTACACTTATTCAAACCAGTGACAGGCAGTAATTGGAGCACTTAAGTTGAATTCAGCAGCAAGGCCAACAGTAATACCTGTTTACCTTAATTCCCTTTAACAAGATTGAAGTTGTCAAATAAAATTTCTGCAGAAGTTTATTTCATCAATTTGGAGTCAATAGTCAAACCAAACTTTTGTAAGTGCTGCTAATATCCACTGCCATCTCAAAGTTTAGGATTTACCATTGAGTTTAGCATGAATGGCAGTGGTGACCTGACCTGAAATCCAGGAAGAAGACCGAACTCCAAATTCTGCCAAGTCACAAGTAATAGGAATAAGATTTGATCCTTCATGCCTGCTTGTCCATTCAATAACATCATTGCTGATCTTCTACTTCAACTACATTTTCCTACCCTACCCCTAAATCTTCTGGCAATACCACATTATCCAAAAGTCTATCAATCTTTCACTCAATGACTGATATCCAGAATCTTCACAGGTAGAGAATTCCAAAGATTCACACACTTTGGATGAATTAATTTCTGTTTTGACATAATTAGCAGATTGTTGTGTCTGTGAACCTCTCTACAGCCAGGGGTCTATCCTCCCATCACCAACTCAGTCAAGCCCCTTAAGAATGTTACATTTCAATGAAATCAACACATTATTTTGAACTATGGGGAATAAAGACCTAGTCTACTCAATCTCTCAGCATTCGGCAATCCTCTTTTACTGCTAAACAGTCTAGTGAACCTTTATTGTGCTCCCTCTAAAGCAAGTATATCCTTCTCTCATTAAGGAAAGCAAAATTGTAGACATTACTCCAAATGTAATTTACCAAGTCCTGTAAATTTGCAGCAAGACTTACTTACTCAAATCCCTTTGTAATGAAGTCTAACATACAATGTACTTTCTTTATTTTTTTCTTTTTTTATTCACTAGTGGGACGTGGGCATTTATTGCCCATCCCTAGCTGCCCTTGAGAAGGTGATTGTGAGTTGCCTTCTTGAGCCACTGCAGTCCACACGTTATAGGTTGACCCACAATGCCATTAGGGAGGGAATACCAGGATTTTGATCCAGCAACAGTGAAGGAACGGCAATATATTTCCAAGTCAGGATGGTGAGTGGCTTTGAGGGGAACTTGGAGTTGGTGGTATTCCCGTGTAAATGTTGCCCTTGTCCTTTTAAGTGGTAAACCTCATGGGTTTTGAAGCATTTGTCAAAGGAGCTTTGAAGAGTTGCTGCAGTGTATATTGTAGCTAATAGAGTCACACAATGGAAATACTTGAAATTTCCCACTGTAGCAAAGTTGTAGATTATGCTTGTTGCTGTCCACTGTTGGAGAACGAGGATTGACCTCTGATTGTACTGGTGCGTCCAATAGAAGGAATGCATTTGGTTTGTCAAAGAATTTTCAATTGCTTTCTCCATCAATCAATAAGGATAAGGCGGGATCACTGAAAGGCTTTGCCAATGGTCCACTGTTTATACAGTGTTCACTGATTCAAAAAAAAAGTATGAAATTTGCAGAAGAGCATGGTCCCTGTCTGAATTGTTTTGAGATAGAACTATGAAGGACCTCAGAAGAGTTACTATTTCTAGTCACTTTATGTGAAATGTGCAGCTGCCAATTAATATTGTTCAGCTTTTTAAAATTTCGGTCTTTAATGTTGTTACAATACCTTAAGCAGAGTTGTTAAATATTATATCAGACTCGGGACTCTTAAAATTCACTCATCCTCTAAATGCTGTTTGAGTTGTAATAGGGTTTACATTAAGATATTTACCAGATGGAAAACACAGCCACAAGATAAAATTTTGGTGTCATGCAATCCAAGAAAACATGCCATGGAGTTGAAATCAATTTACAACAGCGATGCACCCAGTCTAACACACCCTTATTGTCCCAGTTCTTATTGAGGGTTACCATAACTTTCACATCTCGAAATGGGGTCACAGTGGAAAAAAGTTTGGGAAGTTCTAGTTTATGGTGACAAAGATTTTTGTCTGGGCTATTGATGCATATGTTCAATTTAGAGCTTCAGCTTAAACCTTGAAGCTGATTGTTTATCTTGTAAACTCTTGGTGAGAAGTGAATTGGTAAGTAAAATGGATTCTTTCTTCCTCAAAAAGAAGAAATAAATAGAATTGTGAAAATTCTTTAAGTAACTCCTGAGTTAACAAGCTGAATTTCTCAGTGAACAGGAAGCAAATGTTTAAAGATGTCCATGTTATTTTTATAAACAAGGAGTTAACATACCAAACTTTCATACTAAATATTTAAACAGGATCTGGACAGGTTGCAGATGCATCTTGAGGACGTAAGGTTTTTTGACTTGTTTGGTTATAGTGAGGAAGCAGGAGTTTGGCAGTGCTTCATGTGCAACAATCCTGAAAAGGCAACAGGTAAGAATATCAGTATTATTGAAAATTGTGTCAAAGATTGTGCAAAATTACATTCAAAAAAGAAGTATATTTTCAGAAAGCCTTTTTCTTCTTTTTGGTACATTGTCAATGTTAAAACATTAAGGGATATGGAATAGGGGAGTGACAAATGGACAATATATTACAAAAGGGGAAACAAATGGCAGAAATATAGAGTGGGAATAATTTTAACCTCAAAAAACAAATGTGTCATGGTTAGAAGCACTGACATTGGCAACCTGGTGGGAATCCACCTCCAAGCCTTGCAATTCTATGTTTAACAACGGCATGTTACGCTGCATGCACAAAAACCTTCTCTGAGGCAAATTTAAATACATCAATGGCTAGCAGCTATTTTACCTGGGGTTTTACATTTATCTGGGAGTGAATGGGTTTCCCAAGCTCCTTAGAACTTGCCAGTGAAACTAGCAACTGAGGAAGTGATAAAATACCTAAATATGAGACTCTCACCTGCTTCCTTGCTGAAATAAAAGGCTCTTTTTCAAAGATTTTGTTCTGAAAGTTTACTTTGCTTCTTTGGAGATAGTTTCTACAAAAGATGATGTCACAATGAAAAATTCCATTCCACTTTTTTTTTAATCGAGCCCTACAGCTGCTTAAACGACCATTTACAGATACCAGACAGCTTTGAGTGTTATGGGCTTGCTCGTCCTGTAATATTTGAGATTGGTGTGATGATGTTGCATAGGTAACCTGACTCACCACGCTGCCTGTTATGTTTGGTGTTTGGAGGCTGGGGGTGGGGCCTGTCTGCTTTGTGGCTGTCAATCCAGCTGCATGATTGCCAGGGTGGGCAAATGAGTTTGCATGCTTCTTCACAGCTGAGGCCAGTCACATTGTTGGTCTCAAGTTTGCAGCTCAGGCTGGTTTCCCACAGATGCAGACATCATTGACTGTACACGTGAAGGAATTCAGATCAGTTTCTGAACTGTCAAAGTGGCTTCAATCAAAGTGGTGCTTGTTTTCAACCACCAAAAGACCCCAAAGCAGTCTTGAAATCATCTGTTTAACAGACGCATTAATTCTTGCCTTACCATTCATCAAGACTGAAAAGGTCACTTACCAAACAGGCAAACTGGCTTAGATGGGAGAGTGGTGTAAGTGAATAATGTTTATGTGACTCAAAACAATAAGTGGAAGCATAATAATCTAACATTGTGCAACATACCCAAATGCACAGCCTTGCATCAAAGTAAAAAATTTTACTCTTTTTTCTGTGACGGAGGCATCAGCAGTGGTAGAGGGATTACTGCTCTTACTGACCTCCTCTTGGTTTTGGACATTGTGGGGGTCCCGCCAAAAACTTCTTCACATGCTCCTATGCAGGGGCACACTCAACCATCAGAGCATGAGATGAAAACCCAATTGTGTCTCTTACTGGTCCCATGGAAGTGTGGTTCCCTCTCTACAATGGTGACCGAGCTGCCAAAGGCATTGTTTTCAAATCTAAAACAGTTGCTGAGAGAGCACCTCCATGTTGAAGTGGCCTTTCCCTTTCTTACCTGAAAAGGTAGCACGCTACTACTCCTGTGCTGGACTACCTCCATTAATCCTTGAGTTTCAAGAATACATTATTGTCCTTTAGTGGGTAATGAGCCTGTCCACTGGTTATTTTCTAATTCAGAGGAAATCCAGTGCAGCTATGTGATACCTTGTGCCAGGCTCCAGAGGCCAGAGGGATGCTGTGAGGACTGCTAAATTCTGTCAGAAGGATAAAACTTCCTTTGAGCATAGCTCCCTTTACTTGCAGCTCCTTTTGCCCCTTCCTTGTGCCATTGTTAGTCCTTTTGCTAGCGTAGAATTGTCAGATTAACCCCATAGAATGCATTGCTGGAGGTTTCTCAAGAGTTTCTATAGGAAAAAGTGAGCACTCTCAAGTTTGACTGAGTAGACAAAACAAAAATTTTATTCCAACACAAAAGGGGAATATCTTGGTTACCCAAATAAAATGATTCTTGGCTTTGTGTAAGCCCTTGTTATCTTAATCTCTGGTTTAGCTCTGCCTGGTGACTCAACTGTCTTGTCTGGCCATCAGTTCTCCTTATCTCCTTACTCACTGTAGCAATGAACAAAATATGAACTAATATCCTCAAAACTACTCTGTTAAGTATCCCGTTTTGCCAGGAAAAAAATGAGCATAACTACTGCATTTGTTTCAAGATTATCATACACTTTAGCTTTAACTCTATTAATTTTAACTCGCTCTTCCCTACTTCAGATTTCATAACATTCCACAAACATTAGAATTACTGGTAAATAGACATGGCATCAAGAGTACTGACTGTGTCGTCTGATTCCAGTTAGCATTTATTTATCAAAATGTTCCTGAGAAAGGGGCACTTGTGGTGCAGTGGTAGTGCTCCTACCTCTAGACAAGGAGGCCCAAGTTCAAGTCCCACTTGCTCCAGAGATGTGTAATAATATCTCTGAACAGCCTGATTAAAAATATCAAAAAGGTTGCTGAAGAAACTTAACTATCAAAGTCCATTGTCAAATCAGTACAGTGAACAGCCATAGTAGGTTGATTTTACACACCATGTGATTTCAGTATTACTACTGTCTTCACTTTAGGTACATGTGGGGCAATAGGGAGGCAAAAATCTGAGTTTTCATTCAGACATTTATCTATGCTAAGCAATGGAGAGGAATGGTCTTTGTGTCACTGATCAGTTCTAAATTTCATGTTTGTGTTCTAACTGATCATGTTGTCTGCAGGATATGCTGAATATATCCAATAGGAATATTTAAGGCATTACATGCACACTAGTTTGCAGAGATTATTTTTGTGTGGTTTGTTTACAGACCCAACCGACACAATTTTGCTCCTTTTGCTTTATAATTTTTTTGTAAAGTAAGCAGTGGTGAATACAATAACAAAAATAAATTAATTAAACAAGAAGAAAATATTTAGTTCAAAATTGTCAGGTAAGTATGAACAAAAGAGACTTTTACTTTGAATTTGCGAGGTTTATCTGATGTATTTAACTCATTTTTATATTTTTATTTGAAATTCAATTTCCATTTGTTTGCCTGTTGTAGAAAACTGTATTCCTAGTCTCAGATTCCTGTGGTTTCTTCTCAGCGATGTTGGTCAGGTTACACATGAAGTAAATTATGTGAATGGGTTATTGTATGCCATTAATGACATTCTTCAATAGGCAGCAAAAAACATATGTGTGCCAGTAAATGGAAGAAGACAATTAAGTTTTCAAAGATAAGCCACATTAAAATAATTTAAATCAATGATCTGAAGTTGTCCGGAGAAAATTCCTGAGTTGACCTTTCCAAGGCTGCTCGTGTTGCATCAGATGCTGGGGAGGGAAATCCATTAAATCTCTTTCATAACACATTCTGGGCTCCATGGAGTTGTATACAAGTTGGATTGATGGTGGAATGGTAAGCCCCCCCCCCCCCCTGCCCCTCCACCCCACTCCTGAAGCTACGGTGGGTAACAGAGGTAAACCAGCAGCATTCTCCCAGTAGCATCAGCGCTAGGGGCTTCCTTCAGGATGAAAGGTCCCACTTAAAAAGTCAGCCACAACCCCACAGAATTTCTGAGAGGATACTTGCCCACACACGCCATTTGGTCTCCTTGTTTACCCTTTCTGTATCCATCAACAAGCAATGGAAGCACTTTCGCTCCTGCTTAGATGTTTCAGCCCCTGACAATGGTCTGCTGATTTATAACTACTGGACAGTCTCCAGTTACACCTCTGGGCTTAGTAGTCTATCCACAGTCCTTAATTTGATCGACTCCAGCAAACTCCAAAATTACCTGATAGAATTTGGGGGTTCATGACCTCAGTGAGTTAATATAGGCCATCGGCCATTCGTAAGGAATTTTCAAATAGTTTATTAAGTTCATTATGAAGCAGCACTGGTTAATTAGACAGAAAAGTATACAGTCCGTGACAGATTGGAGTAGTGAAGGCAGCTGAAGGGTTCATTGGTTTTTCTTCCTGGTCTATCTTCATTTGAAGGAGACAACCATCTGATGAGGACTATCCTCCCATTCTGAGCACCTGTATATCTACCATATTTCTAACAGTATCCACAGTATTTTACACTGTGATAATCACCCATTTGAATCCTTCAAGCCAAAGGACATGGGACAGCTACCCATAGCATCTAGATAACTGTTCCCCACTTGCCGATCTTCACCTGAAGGTTAGTTTTCATTCTTTTTGGAAGCAAAACTTTTATTTTTCTTGACATTGCATTGATAATAGGGTACATATACTGCTATATAGTTCTTTGCTGTCAAATCATAGTACGTTGTGGTCTTGGCAGTCTTTATTGTCACCGTCCTTTTTGTTTTGTCTTGACAATTAGAAATCGTTTGTGTTTGGGGAAGACAAGAAACTGCTGTAACACCTGTTAAAAAGATCCCATGCTACTTGAGAAGTACAAAACTTCAGTTTTAAAGGGATTCCAATTTGCAACAACCCTTTGAGTCCCTCTGCCAGCATTTGTAGGTTTCTAACTTGTATCTCATCACAATGGTAGGTTCAGGACAAAGGAACAAAAGTCCTGGCCCCTTTTGACCAAGAAACATTTTAGAAAGAATGAAATGGTTAGCAGAATTTCCTGCCTTGCCATCCATAAAATTAACAGGACCACATCACCTCAATGTTGGCTGCCTTTTCAAAGAACATAATTTCCTGAAGATGGGACTTCCATCCTCTACTTGTGAGGAAATCCTGGCTTAGAGAGCTTGCCTGACAGCACCATTGTCCCAGCACTGTCATTCAAAGTGATGGCCGTAAGCAGGACTCCAACCAGTTGCAGCAGTCAGTACTGGAGCTAGGATGCAGCTGAGTGCTAGGAGGTGTGTCACAGTGGGAATAGCTTTGGGGGCAGGGAGATCATTGTTGTACCAGGGGTTGTGGATCTTGATGGAGAGGCCAGAAATCATAGGAAACACTCAGTAGTTGCAGATCTTGGGGATGCGTGCTCCTGAT